ATCTATTGCTACTAAGACTGTAAATCTCGTTATTGGTGTAATTTTTAGCATTACGTTAGACTGTAAGTATAGTCTATTGATCTAACCCGTACGATAATTTGCATTCAACGGAACATGCTAGACATCTATAAGTGCGAATAAAATAATTACGCAACTCAGTGTGTCCACAGCCACATTTTTTGTATCATCGAACGCGTGTAAAAAATAATACGATTCTCAACTGTGAAACGTAGCGCGTAATAACATAACGATATGGTAAGCGCCATATTGACTTTATTTGTAATAATAGAACTATTGATAGCGTCTGACATCAATCGAACTATTTGATCGAGTTACGAAAAGGAAAATTCTATTGTTAGTTTATTATTCGGAGTTCATCCAACTTTAAAATTGATACTCACTTCTCTGAATTAAATGAGTGGTTTCCACTACTCTACTGGATTATCATGTCACAACAGTTTATTAAACTGATATAGACATTGGTTATGTGATCAAAATTTGTCATTAATTTCCGTTTTTGTCTATTTTCTTTTGCTCAAAATAAATGACTATTATTGCAATTTACAGGCTTATTGAAGTTAGCAGAATAGATTAGATCGATATTATTTTAAAGTTAGTTGTTTTCTCTCTCAACTTTGAAGCAACATGCGCCTGCTACCCGATCACTAAGCAAATCAATGTTTCCTCTTAACTTGTAGAAGCATCCATTTTCACCGTTCCGATTAGGCTATTATTATTGTGGTGATAGTTAAACGGTCGACATTTAGGTCCAACGCTCCATCAACCTTTGTGTAAACAGTCAGATAATTACGTTTATATAAGCATACTACCTTTTCGTTTTCTAAAAGATAAAAAGCCTTGCATCAACTTTTGGCTTTTTTGGCAGGAATTATTGCGCATTAAATTTCCTTTTATCTAAGTTCTAGTAATCTATCTTCATTTGTGCTACTGACCAGATTTAGAGGAATTTTAAGCATTACAGCTTTTACTCGCGGCTTAAATGCAACAGGTTGCTAATCATAATTTATCTATCCATACTTATTTTAACTACTAATCAACCACAGAGCAATTATTTTAATCTTCAGAAATGCACGTTTTACAAAATTAAATAAAGACACGTTATTAGACGTGAGCAGCTGTCAATACTAATATTCTGTTCCGAGATTTGGTGATAGGACTGTAAGGAGATTTATTAGTAAATATGCCTATAGACAGGAGCAATTCTTGCATAAATGGTTTGCAATGAACTTACTAGTGACTATAGGACATATTAATATAGTGGACTATATATAGACAAAGTCGACTGATCGACATTCGTTAAAATTAACACTGCTATTACGGCTCTAACTACGGGACATGTTGTTAAGGTAAGTGTTACGATAAGTACATATAAACATCATATTTAATTGGAGTATGGATAAATGTTTGAACAAACTCGTGTAAGAAACCGCAACGTTTATTCCAAAAATTGTGCCGCTAAATTACAATGTAAATTTTTACTCTATTTACTTCTCTAATCTATTTCCGAACTTGGCAAGCTAAGATCTGGTAAAGGGGAAACCTGGGAACAACCAAAATCGTAGCTGTTTCTCAGATTAGGCAAAATCCCCAACAGGCTAGAATATTTACTCAAAACGTGATGGGTCTCACATCATTATGATAAATGGCATTCCACATGTTGTCGTCAAAATTGTCCTTGTCCAACATTTCATTAAAGTAGTTAAATGTCACAAAAAGGTTGAATGCACCTGGACGCTTTTCAGGATTAGCATCACAACACTGTTGAGCAAGTTTCTTGTATTTTTCCGGTGCTGAATCGGGCATCGGTGGTCGTAATCCACCTATGATATCGCGTACTAAATCCCCATCGACTTGCCTATCTCGAAAAGGTGGTTCACCAGTAGCAATCAAATACATGATAATACCAAAAGAATATATGTCTGATTTCTGAGTGAATTTGTGAGTATGGAAAAGTTCCGGTGCAATAAAGGGTAAGACACCTTGAACCGTTGATTTTGACTTGCGTGAATGCGCTGATCGTGAAAGACCAAAATCACATATAAACGATCCTGTTTCAGATTCATAGTCATGCAAAACTATGTTCCCGCCATGAAGATCACAATGTATTAATCCTCTTTTATGAAGAATACGCAGATAATGTGCAATATCCCTCAAACACTTCCATTTCATCCTCCATGTCAACTTGTTTATGTTTTGATCCAAATATGACAACAAGTTACCATTGTTAGCATATTGCATAACAATTATGTACTCTTTTGTTTCTGGGTTTTGTGTGAATCCATAAATATAGAGGAATGGACAACCACTGGCGCACTTGGCATGATTTCTGAGCTATTAATAAAATACAGATCAGCCTAGATACCAATTTAATTAATGCTACCAAAGTTTGTTTACCTCGGAAATAAATAATTCTGGCATCTGATCAAAACACTTGAAACGTTTGAGGACAACAACTTCTGGAATGCCTTCTTCTGAATGCTTTTTATATTTAGCAGCATAGACTGTCCCATAGCCACCAGATCCAATCTCCTTTATTTCATCAAAATCGGCATACTGCATATATGTCACATTATAATGCATTTCTATAAGTCTGTCTAATAGTGCGTGTATGTTGTGGTATAGCACCAAATAATATTCTTTAGTAATTGGCTCTCGAGTGATACCAATAATCCAAATATTATCTGGCGTTAATATATCGGGGTATTCCTTTGCTAGCTATTTGAATGAACAGATAAGGTCGTTATGAAACACAAGTTGTTAATATTAATAACATTTGCATTGTTTATACATGAAATAGTTTACCTGATAAAAATCAAACAACTGAGCATTCTGTCCATCAACTATCTGTTTGAGCATCACTCTTGTTGATTCACCTGCTGTCTCTAACCAATGTGTGCATTCATAGCATAATAATGTCATCTCTTGTACATTTGTCAATAAAGAATACTTTATCCATTGTATGTAAGCATCATATTTATTTGCCACATTATTCCATGATTCCATAATGAATGAGTCCAATGACTTGTTGCCCGTAGTCCAATCAAGAGGTCTTGGTACTTTACAATGATAACAGAATGCATTTATCTTAGGTTCTAACGGACGTGTACAGGCCAGACATAATCCATACTCATGACATTCCTCAATTAGACAATACTTCTGCTTACTTGCATCATATGTGAATCCGATGGTAACCCAAACATCCATGGTAAGAATATCTGGATGCTCATCACATAACTAGTAGAAATAATAAATCAATAATTATCCAATAAACATGGTGCATGACTAACAGTTTACCTTATCATAATATGAATCATTTGCCTCATCTGTTATTTCAAGCAGAGCTGCATCGTCAGGAATAGGTAGACCATATAAGTATCCTAATCCACTATATTTCCCATAATCAATGCAATCGAATGGAATCCATTCCAAATAGGCATCATTTGCCGAGTTTGTTTGTATTTGAGATTTCCGAATAAGCTCGTCGAGTTGCTTATTGTTACTGGTCCATCCATCGGATAATTCTTTATGTCGACAGATGCACCACACGGGACTACATCGGAGTATTCCACATGCAGTACAGAATCCATATCGAGAATAGCAGTAGTAAAAGAGTTCGCTCGCAACCATGTAATAGTTATTATCACGCTCAGTAAATCCAAATATGAGTTCGTTGCGTTTCTCAAGCCATTTCTTATATCGTCTAAATTGACTGACATCATCATTGTACTTATCTGTCGGAAGTGAGTACATTCTAGCAAACTCACTCACAAATGTTGGTGTACATGTTTCGTCACTTCCAACTAATAGCAACATTATCTTGTTTTCATTAACTCTACCATTATCATGCGCTTGCTTGCGAATGGCGTAGTAGACGTTGTCAATTTTAGTTGATTCTGTGTTGGTAATTTGCGAGTAAGGAATCCATTCAAGTTTATGATCACTTTCTAAGGAAGATTGGATCAAGTTGTCCATTGCTTGATATTGAATGTTCTTAACTGACGATATAGTTTTTAGTTTTTCAAGTAGGCAATCAACAACCATTGTGTTACATAGCATGCTTGTGACGTAAGCCTTTGTACATTAACGGCTAGCTAGTTTGGTTGCGAAAGAGTAAGGGTGAAGTGATATGTCCATAAATTGATGTTATTATTCGAACTTCACTGATTCAACACGACCGTAATTACTATGGCTTTGCGAGAATAAGCATTCCCCGAGACTATCTACTTATTAGTAGGTGCTGTAGGTAAATGTTCACAAATTAAAATATACATAAAGAGGTGTGTGATTCGAGGATGATTTCATTGTTAACGAGAAGCTAGCTTTCCAAATATAGAATTGACCAGCAGCCGATGGGAATTGCATAATAGTTAGAAAGGTTATTTTCACCTTAGTTTGTTGATCGTATATAATTTTGTATATCATCTATGATGCACGCGGCAGAATGTTTTGTAAGATGTGAGAATGTTAATAAACACACGGGGACCAATACTTGACGTTGTCCTTAACCTTAACCGATGACTTAAGCAAGGAACAAACAGGGTAACGATGGTTAACAAAGCAATTCGAACTAAGGTCTATGTAGTTACAAAGACTTGAACTGTTCAGCTCCGAAAATAGGTTCATTTAACATTCCCACCGCTATTAAGCTCTAAAAGGCTAAGCCACGTGTACGTCACAATCTCACGTTTCGTCGTCGTAGGCAGATTATTGTAAGAACACCTTCATCTTGATCAACAAGAGAATATATTTTCAAAGAGGCGTGCATACATGGAATGCGTACACGGACCAAGAATGGGAGGACAAAAGTATATTACAATCTAATTAAAGAGAAATGGCTATTAGGAAGTAGTAAAAGTCTAATTGAAGACATATTATACATTGATGCCTTAGAGTGTGCCAAGAGCATCTTTTCGTCTTTCTCTACTGACGAGACATCTTTCTTTTCCAGGGCTGACATCGGAAAATACAAAATTCTGTCCTCATTTACCGAATCCAACTATAACACCTAAAATAGAAAATGTATTGTAAGTAACATCTTACAAACAAATATGTGAGACTTCAAATAGTCCCAACTGCAAGTTCTCTATCGTGTGATGTAATTATGTTATCGATTAATATGTGATGATCGAATCTTGCATTCTCTCGTTCATTCGCCCCATCCACTTACCAATAGTAAGCAGAATCATCACGGCAATAATGATTGTTATAAACACAACACTCCAAAGCTTCGCCGTTGGTTTGCCGGACTCGTTCAACCATGGCTGAGACCAACCAGAAAGTTTATCTACGAGGAAAAAAGTAAATGGCCGTTGATTAGCATGAAACGAAAGAGATTGATACTCGCAGACGGCTTAATTCCATCCATTTTCACCTGGTATGCGATCATCTTCGGTCGACTTATCCGTAAAACCGTCTTCTCTCTCCTTCTTACTTACAATCTCCCAACTCCCGTCTTCTCTCTCCTTCTTACTTATAATCTCCCAACTCTCCCTGATGGTTTTTATCTCTTTCGTATTCGCTATCCTATCATCTTTTCGCCGGAAGAAGTTGCAGAAAAAGTTCCTTTCATGGATCGATTGGGAAACCTTTTCCAGGTCAATGCTTGTTGGCTTACTTCTAATATTGTCACTAATTGACGTAGACCTACTCGAAAATACCGTTCTATCTCTCAGTTTGTTACTCTGAACACTGCTTCGGTTATCTGTTTTACTTATTTGACCTCTCAATCTCTCTATTATATATATTTCACTCACACTTTCTTCTTTGAAAGTGCTATCCCTCTTACCCATACTTTTTCTGTTACCCTCTTCACTCTGCAGATTTTCCATATTCCCACCATTCAACCTGAAATCAACTTCACTACTCTCACAGTCTTTACCAACTCCCTCAACCATGTCCAAATCCCCATATGTACTGTCGATAATAACGTTGCACGCCTTATTCTCTTGTCCGTCTACAACAAAGATAGAACTAGCCACCGTACGCTCTGCACGATTGTTCTTTGCGACGATGGGAACCCCACGTAATTCGCCATGGGCTGCAAGAACTTCAGGATATATGTTTATTAGACGTTGCGTTGGATATGATGCGAGAAGCACTGGTGGAATGGATGGTAATGGAGGTGACAGATGCGAAACCGGAGAGTCAGGAGACGGAAGTGTATTCGTTGAGTATGGGTGCAGGGGTGGAGAGGGTGGTGTAGTCAATATTGATGGATAAATAAAGGAGAATGGTGAAAAGAGGGATGATGCTTCGGAAGACGATGATTCAGCTGCGGAGAGTCGACCCAGTGATTGTGATTGTGGACGGGATTGTGGACTAGATAGCGGACTAGATAGTGACCCGACCGCGGTTGATATGGGCGAACCGGCTATGGAAGGAGGTTCAAATGGAGATGAATGTAACGATAGTTGTTTCGTGTCGTATACTATGTTATGTGTAGTCATGTTATGTATATTGTTGTGTATTGTGTCGGACATAGTGTTATCTGCTGATGAGTTTTCGTCCATAGTCTACAGGTATGCAGAATAAAGTTGTAGTTTACTGAATGTAAACGAGCATTTACAATGAATGATATTAGTATTTTTTATATATATTCCAATAATAGTCTAGCCAAAGACGACGGCAAAATAACTTGAATAGTTATACGTTCTGGAGTCTCAATAATCTTGGAAATTTAGATATTGTCCATGAAAACAATATAGCAGAACGTCAGAGCGAAACAAATTCGGACGAAACACATCCGCCTTATAGACATCGAATCGGATGTCGTGAGTAATTGACTTTTTTGCAGCTTTATCTGGAGGAGGAAAGCGATTGGAACAATTCTAGTCGATTGCCTGTTGAGGGATCGATCGTAGGGGAGCTATTAATAGCATTGTTACGTATCATGAATCATGCTGAGACAAGCGAGTGGGGTGGGAGTGGTCCGTTTATTAGACTGTCACAAACGTCGAGTCAAATGACCATTCAGTGATTAGTATATCAGGTGTTAAGCTTTTGCAGAATATGGAATAAAGGTCAAGACTTCTTTAAAATGGTAATGACATGTAATAAAGATTTATAATGGAAAATGGGCATAAGTAAATAGATTTGAAACCTGTTAACTCGAATGACGCAATACCATATATATACATAGACCAAACCTTGCAGTCTTCTTAATATTCGATAACATTATCCTACATCTTCTTATTTTTCTTTTGTTTAATTGGTTTGGGGGGTTTTTTGCCGCCATTTCTACATTCGCGCGTACCAGATCACCCGACCCAAGAAAATAGAAGGGTTGTATTAATATTAACAACAAGCCTTTCCCAAAAGGAGCCAGCTAACCAGATTGCGCATTACTTCAGGTACAAACATTTTTATACAATCTCACCCTACATTACAAAATTCACAACCCCTTATCGTGCACATGTCCCTTGTTTATTCACATGCTTGATTTCCAAGAATATCGACTTTGCATATTCCCCTACAAAAATGGTAAATGACCAGAGAACAATGCCAAACCTAAACTCACCGTCGATCGCCTTGTGCATAATGCTATACATTACCTGCATTGAAGGTATCATCGATGGAATACAGATGTTGAAGAAAGCAACCATTCTTTCTCACGCATAAAAATGGTTTTCTGGAGCCTTGTCGGTTTTTGATATGCTAGACTTGTAATCTATTATCTAACTTGACGCTTAGTTGTGAGTTATTTTCTTGTAATACCGATACTTGCTATGTATATTATTATCATGTGTGCTTTTGAACTTATTGTTACACTTTCTCATAAACTGAAACTAGGTTAAAGTTCTAATCTCATCAATGGCACATCGCCCAGCGAGATATTGTTTTGAGTTAGGGTTACGTTTTCACGACACGTTTATCTCAAAGAATTGTCTAAAAAGCTGTTTTAATGGGGGGTTTGGATGAAATTGACTCAAAGATGATTGACATGTTGCATATCTCCTGAACGATAATATCTGGAATGTATATGACCATCTTGCTGTATTGATACTTGATGACTATCGACTACACGACAACAGCAACTGTAACGCTTTAACATGCATGCTATCCAAGAATCAATACAACTTACAATGTGGAGCTACATGAGGTGTGCTTCTTATTTAGTGACGACAATAGTTTTGGTTGTCTCATGAATAGTTGCAACTTTCTCTTGTACGCGCACGAAAATGCAAACAATTCAATACTCAACATATTATTTACAGATAATTAGGACTTAATGTATATTGTATGGATATATTTGATACTTTTTTCACTCTTGATTATCGCGGCTTTCCACATACATAGTAAATCAAATTGAGTAGACTCGCTAATAATCGTCTTTGAGGAAAAGAAATACACCCAGAATTGATATGCGTCTGATTTGTTAGATAAGATTGCAGACAAATATTTGATAAAAATAAATTCACGCACACAACAATCAGTGAGTTTCCGAACAACCGACTGACAGAAAAAATTTTGCTATTACTGCTGCACGCTCCGTCGTTACAAACGTATAGACTTCATCGTGTCGTATATGCAGTCAAATCCAACTAACATGCTGACTGGAACAATTAATTCAAGCATACAAGTCGAGTAAGCTAATAATCATTCGCTGGAGAAATAATGGTCACTAAGACCTTTATTCCAAATCGACAGGAATATCAATATTGCATAATTTCTAATAAAAAAAGATCGACGCAGACCTTTGGTAAAGGAGTAATTAGCAGGCCCGATAAAAAGTTTTTGAATGCCTGTTGACACCTTGACAATCATTACACACTTCTTTCATCACAGTGGTGTGCTTATTTATGATAAACAGTTACGTAGCTTAATCAATAACAACAAAAATTGTAGTGACCAAAATTGTAATATACAGTCGCACTTCTATAAGTGCACACTCCCATGTTCTACACGTGCAAGCGATTTCTAATCCCAGATATATTATATCCCTTCCAATTGTTCGCGTAATTTCAATCAACAAATATGCAATAGCAATGTCAGTTTAATGGTGAATATACCCATAATTGTACTATTACGAAATATTATTTGCTATATTGGTATAATTAATTGAAAAGTTTAATTAGTATTCAGCCATATAAACAACACTCTTGCTATCAATAGTGAGCCCTATACAATAGTTATGTATGTACTAATAAAATTACACGTCGATTGAGTTGAAAAGTTCATAAAGTACTATAATTAGTTTTCGAATCTTACAAGATGACTTATTTTAGAACCAGTTAGTCAAGGCACAAAGAGACATAAGTATATCCAGAACTTGAGCTTGCAGGTTAACAAAATTGGTTAAACTATAAACATCGAACAGTGCCAAGTGAAAAGTATACGTAGTTTGACTTAGAATGTGACTGTCAAGAAAGAGAAAAATAACTACTTACGACAGTTTCCGATTTTCTAATTTGTCGCTCTATAAGGCACACTGCACTTATGGCAGATAATACAAGTAGGTGATCTCGAGGATGCTAATTCACATGGGTGTTGTTCTCCGTAGTATTGGTAATTACATTGCGACGAGCATAGTGTTATGGTTTTGCGTCGAATCATTGTAGTTCGAATAATGATATCAATTTATGGCCCAATAGTGTCACAAATGTGCGACGATGTAACATCCACCATTCTCTCGAAATTGTTACTTAAAAAACTTTTGTTTCATAACCATGTCGTTAGCCAAGAATGTTCAAAATCAGGCAATTGACGACTTGATCAAAACTAGTCATAAACAATGGATTTCTTACTCACAAATTACCAATATAGAAGCAAGTAAAATTGACAACGTCTACTACGTTATTCGCAAGCAAGCCGGTAGAGTTAATGATGACAAGATAATACTGCTATGCCTTGGAAATGATGAGACATGTATACCAACACTTGTGAGTGAGTTTGCTAGAATATACTCACTTCCGACGCACAAGTACGACAATGATGTCAGTCACTTTAGACGGTATAAGAAGTGGCTTGAGAAACGCAACGGACTCATCAAAGGATTTACCAAGTATAAAGATAACTATTACATGGTTGCGAATGAACTCTTTTACCACTGTTATTCCCGATATGGATTCTGCGCTGCATGTGGAATACTCCGATGCAGCCCTGTGTGGTGCATCTGTGGACATAAACAATTATCCAATGGATGGACTAGCAACAATAAGCAACTCGATGAGTTTATTAA